GACAGTATTAGTGTATGTATTTTGACAAACTTGGCAAAATATTTATTTGAGTTATTTGTAAACTTGGTAACGTTTCAGACCTAAAAGGGCTTCACTTTGACCTTCAACGATCTTAAGGTTTTATTGGTGCCCATGAAAGGTTATTTGAAATAACTTATTTTCGTCCATATTATATTTTCTTCGTTTCGTATTCTATACGACGAAACTTACTGTCACCCCGTTTTATGGTACTTTGGAGTAACGTTTCGTGATTGTATCCTTTCACAATTACATGTTTCGTTCCACCGATTTCGATTTGTCTATTGTTCTTGTCATTTCCGTTGGACCGTAGAGTTTCTTGTAGGGAAATGTCGGTTCGCAAGATTAGTTATTACCCTTGTGAAAGTTGTTACAGACTTCACCAATGTTATTTCTCACTCAGGACTAGTGTCCCGCCTTCCCGCCCAGGACTCTCCAAAAACCCTCACCCCTACACTCCCACCTGAAGTGAAGAGAAGTGACCAGGTGTCCTAAACATCACAGACTACCCGACTCATCGACATTGAGACGCGTTTCCGGGGTACTGCCCTTCACTTCTTAGTACCACTACTGTACTACCTCTTGTCGAAGTATCGAAGTCTCGTGAGGGTTCCTCCAATATACACTGCGACGAAATAGTAATTAGCCAGTGGTAGTGGGGGTTGTTGTAAACCTGATCATCTGGTTATTTTGTTAAAGGAGGATGAAAGTGTAATTAAGGAGCACTATTGGAGTGACTTTGATGGTTATTGGACTCAGGATTCATTCATTTGGATTCCCGCTGTATGAAGAAATTAAAGGACGGCGCAAGTGGAAACAATTCACAAAGGGATTAAACTGTTTAAAACACATGCTCAAAGTAAACTGGATTTTGCCGATGTGTTTATGTGGATTCAAAAGTCGTAAATAATCTACAAAATTGAGGAGACCGATCTGATTGGAGCAACTGTGACAAATCCCCCTGCGATCTTTGGCGCCACCCCCAAATGTTAGAAATCAGCTGTTTATTATTTAAAGTTTTTCCGTCCGATTTTCTCCTTTTTTCCTCTCTGTACACAGCTCCAGTTTGGGCATTGGCCTGTCATCAGATTTCATTTTTAGTGTCTGCTGCCTGTAGCAGAAGTTTAGTAAAATTATTTTTGATGAAATACTCCAAATCTAGAGTATCGGTATCTGATGAGTTGGTCGATCCACTCACCAACATGACAACAATGTAAATACTGACAACACACAATTTCATATTCCTCAGAGGTTTCTTTTTTTATCTTGTGAGATACAGGAAGTATACTTTATTATGAAATACTTTATTAATCCCACTTGGAGTCATTTCATTGTAGCCTATCGCTTTGTTGTTATTTCCATTACACACCCAAACAAATACACATAGAAAATAAACATAGCATCAGTTATATCGAGATTTTGTGCGGTGGGTCGTACCACATACTCCAAGTAGTTAGAGGTTCAGTGATTTCTCAAGGGCATCTCGACCACCTCCCCGTTCCCAAGCCAAGTCCTTGCAGACTGAGCTACAGCATGACCTTCTCAATAACACTTCCTCTTTAGACCTCTAAAACGTACTCAAATAATCTCTCTTTGGCTGACTTTCAACCGTAGCCCATAACATTTATTTGCAGTTTGCAGATGATGATTTGCAAGAAGAGAAAACCAGAAGGGATGAAAAGGTGTTTATCATAATAATGACAGTGGACACATTTGAAGGAATGATGACGGGGGTGTTGGGTTGGGCTCTGTCAGATGGACTCCACAGATACAGATGGGTAGATAACTCAGTCTCTCTAAATGATGATATTTCTGCAGCACCTTCACATTTACAGGTTTAAATAAAACCTTCAATTACTTTTTTTTAACATTTTGTAATGTCACTTATGAGACAATTATGAATAGGCTGCAGACGTTTTAAAGTAATTTATTTCTTTGCATATCAATTACTTTATTATTATTTCAACATGATCTTCCAAATGATAACAAAGGTCTCCTGAGATGAATCAATTGAATAGGACGCTTCCCGGGCCATTCAACTTTTATTCCACCAGGCGTCAGTATTTTTCCCTCTAAAGTAAAACCGCTGCTCTCCGGTCTGTTCGATCACATGCTGGGAAGGTTTGAAGTTGCTGCTTCTTGTCACACATGCGGACCAACAGGGTTGATGGCACAAGGGCACAGAAGTGACACCGAGGCGAGCAGAGTGAAGTGGGGACGACTGGAGCTGATCCACGGAGGCTGGGTGAAGTCCACACAGGTGGAGAAAGAGGAGGAGTAGCGCGCGTTGAAAGGATGAAGATGAAAACCACGGGAGGCAAAAGTCTCCCAACACTGGCGTCTCCGATATCCAATCTTTAGGAGAGTTGAATTTGGACCGGTTGAGAAACTTCTGCCACGGTGTACAATGTTTATGAATGAGTCTCAACTGAACAGCTCCTCGCGAGACCCCACTGACTCCGTCCTGGACCGGCCACCATGGGTTACAACTACTTTGGGTTGCTTTCTCATCTTCACCATCGTTGTTGACATCCTGGGCAACCTCCTGGTCATCTTCTCCGTGTATCGCAACAAGAAGCTGAGGAACGCAGGTGAGTCAAGGTCAGGGGGGAAGTGTGCGCGTGCGGATACGGAGTGGCCACGCGTGAGTACACTGAGCTGCGTTAAAAACAAAACAAAAAGTCTGTCACATTTGCTGACGAGAGTCCCATTTAGGTGGAGAAATATGCTAAACTTTATAGTTCTAATAACCAAAAAGCGTTTCAAACAAGTTGTTTGTTAGGCGCTGTGTTATTGGAGAGGAGGAATTGTAAACGGAAAACGGATGTCCATTTTTGTTTTCATTCATCACAAATCCGAGCCACCGTGAAGATGCGTGTGATAGCGATATAATGCAACCTTGTCAACAACACCACTCACAGAGGGAGGTTATTGTGTTTTTTAATTGTATTTCCATCTGTTCTATCACTTTAATAGTACTACATATATTTATTATTGTGCTCTGAAATATACTATATCACAGTGCAGTATGGCTGATTGTTATGGACATTTAAAAGTGACCTTGTTCTAGTTTTAGCCTACATTTGAGGCAGACATAATGTCACTGACCTACACCCAGTTTGCGGGAAGCTAAGCAGGCTCATAGGGGGATGCGAAGAGAAACATTATAGCGATTATTGACACAATCTGAAACCACGGGGAAAGCCCAACGCTCATCCCTGCTCTGCTTCTACTAATGCTTCCCGGGGCTTACCCACTATCGATGTTACTCCAGCCAGCTTGGAGATTTAATTTAATAATGATAATGAAACGGAATTGTTCAATGTATTACTAGGTTAATGATTAAACGAGTGCCTTGTGTGTGTGTTAATGCTGTGGATTTAATTAAGATATTGGTTTTGGATTAAATGGTGTGCCCCATTTCGCTCAGTGGAAGTGGTAACACGCTCATAATGAAAAAGTCAGAGGGCAGTGAGCTGCTGGGAAAACCCAAGAGGCTCCTGTCATGGTCAGGTATGTACAGCTGACTGACTGATTCACATATCATATCTGTCATCATTTGGAGGCTGTAGTAGGGTGATTTGCTAAATACACTCCTGACATAAGCATTGTTAGGGTCAGAAGAGATTTCCATCATGCAGAGCCAGTGGGGAATATTAAAAGCATATGATTGCCTCTTACTGATATTTAAAAAAGCTCCCATTGCTTTACAATTTTCATTATTGATAAAACACACATGCAACTCAGCAATAGTCACCCTGGATGTAGGTATTTTTTAATGTTGCTGCTCACAAAATACTATAGCCAAGAATGTTTAAATGAGTCTCTGGAACTAAACATGCCTGTGTGATTGTTTAAGACATGGTAATGCATGATAAATAAAACAAATTAAACAACATATGGGACACAAGGAGAGATATAGAAAACGTAATCTACATCTTAGACGTAAGGAAGTTATAACGCAGCAGAAGCAGGTGTTTAATGAATCTTGTAAAGTTTTACTACCTACAATCACTATTTATTTAATAAGCCTATTACATGTAATTTTTTCCATGGCGGATTCAGAAAAGTTCCACATTTGAGGATCAAAAGGAGGTCATGAAAATACTTTACTCACTTTAATCGCATTTCCAAAAACTATCCTAGAATTCTAACAAATGCTATGCAGCCTGATGACGTTGTGCCTCAAGTTCATGCCTTTGAACTCATTTGCTACTTTCTGTTTCTGAAGTCATGCCTAACTTAAGGCTCTTAGAATTTTCTGTTCAATAAGACATTGGCAAATTGTATGCAAGTTGGCAGACATATTGATTGATATCACAACGTTCCGTTCATCACTGTTGGAATGTTTTGACGGTGATCAGGCAGATACTGTTTGCTTTAGTTGCCCTTGAATGTGGGAATTTGATGCCACACCTGATTGTTTGACACACAGCCATACATTGGACTGATCACCAATATTTACTTTCAGGAGCCATTTTATTGCAATATCTTCTGTCCACAATGGATTCAATTACCCATATTTGAATAATCTCCTCCATGAAAATACTAGTGGGCAGATATGTTCTTGGCATGAACGAAACGTTTTAGAAATTGCACAGCAGACAAACAACAAGGGGATAATTAAAAAAAGCGAGTAAGGAAATACTCAGTGGAGAACCTGGCAAACGTTGTGATGACATATTGCCGACGGGAGAAGCACCGCTTTCCATGCATGGCCAAAGCTTTCAAAAATGTGTACAAAAAATGGCCAGCAAGCAAGTGCGCATGAAGCCAACAACACATGGTGAGGTGTTTGTGCTGCATGGCTGGGTACACAAATCAGCACTGTAGCTCAACTCAATGCCAAAATAAACTAATTAAATGTAGCTGTTTTGTTGTAGATAAAGCATTTCTTTTTAATTCATGCCAAGGAAAAATGAAAGATTCCAACAAGAAGTGGACTCGCTGACTAATTTGGTTGGCTGTTTGTCAAGAGTGAGACATAACAAGAGCTCATTGAATGATTCAATTTAATCTTATTTATAAAACTCAAAAGTTATCCCAGGGCATGTTTACATTACAGCAGGTTTAGACTGTACTCCATACTATTTATAGAGAAACAATTCCCACCATGAAAGTGGTAAGGGAAAAACCTCCTGACAGAAGATGGTCTGTAGCCTAGCTATATTATTATATATGCTAAAGAAGACAATGTGCTGATTCGGCGCACTAAGAAAAGGGGTAAATATATGCATTTTTAAGCAGAGTGGCAAAGTGAAATATCTGAGCAGTCCCTCATGGCCAATATAGCGTCCATTTTAAAGGTTGGAGGTCTGCAGTCTTGATAGTGCTATGGCAACAGGCTCTTTTCAATCCACAGGGTTTATGAATGAGAACAAAAGACACGTACGAGATGAGAAAAAACATTTTGTGTTCATCACATCGTCCTTTTCCTTTTTACTAATTGTTCTCAAGGTAGAAAACCCCCCATGTAAACAGCAGGAGGTTTAAAGAGACCTTCTGCCAGACAAAGACAGGCCTCAGTGTGCTGATACCTTGTATTCAGGTAGAGCTCCGTCTGTTTTTAAGTGTGTTGAGTTTATGTATACAGTGGTATTTCTCATTTCAGCTCTGTTATTAGTTACGGTATTGTTGCTCTCAATGTTATTATTATATTTGGAGGTACTTATGAAAGATTAAGTGTTATTTTTGCATGTGTGTCCTATTTAAATTAGGATTTTAAACATATCCATTTGCTTTGTCGGTAGATTCCAAAAGAGAATTGTCTAATAATGAAAATCCCTTCGTCGCACATAGAGGATGTTGATTCCTCAGCATCCTGTTTTATTTCCACGAAGTACAGTAAGTCTTGTTTTGCGAGAATCTTTAATCCCTACACTCAGCCTTTATCAGGGAAACAATGTTGCGTTCCATTTGTTATGCCAGGAAAGACTCATTTCCCTTTTGGATACATATTTTTGTATTTAATCAAAAAAGTTGATTTAAGGTCACTTTGTCAGGTTGGTGGAAAAGTTTTTTGTTTTGTTCTACTGACATGACTCAGATCTGAAATATATGGCCACGTCTTTGTTATTCTTTCTGAAACTGTGTGTTCCCTGTAGGGTAAACACTATTTAAAAAATGTTCATAATCTTTTCCAAAATAACAATTTAGGAAAACTAAGAAAACTCATATTTAAATGAAAAAGGTTTCAGGCTTTGTGGAGCTTCACAGCGTAACGTACCCTCTGCCAGCAGCATCAGTCCCATGTGGCTGTATCCCACCTCTGATGACAGGGATGCCTCGTTGTGATCCCTGCTGTGCCCCCCCCACTGGCTCACATCTCCACAGTTACCCTGCAGTTTAGTACCAACTGTGGCGAGGAAGTTTGACTGCTCTTATTTTAAAAGCTCAATTAGTTGTGACGTTCACTTTGTTTGCCACATCATGATCAAAGCCCTCGTAGCTTTCACTAAGATGAATGTGTTTAGTGTCAAAGAGAAATATGTGCAGAGCTTGACACGTGACGTTTGTTTTCCTTCATCTTCAGAGAAATTGTTGTTCAAGTTTGGATCCTGGAGATTTCAGTTCTGGTTGATTGGATGCCAGTTGAGAGCTATTCTCTGAAGCAGCTGCAGCAGGATGTTCTTTTTGTATTTGCAGTCACTTAAAACAGCTCTGACACAGTGTGAACCTTGGATAACAATTACCAACCATAAATGGAATCATTACATGTTAGACGCTTTTATCCAAAGCAACTTACATACTCAATACTGTGAGCAATCCCCACATGAGCAATTTGGGGTGAAGTGTCTTGCCCAGGGACACAACCACATGCTGACTGCAGTGGGGTTTGAACCTGTGACCCCCTGATCCCAACACCAACACACCAGTCCACTGCGCCACATGCCTCCCTCAAATCAAAAACTAGATTTTATGAAAAAGGCAATTATTACTTGATTTCTCAGTTTTGTGAGGTGTAGTAGGATTCATATCATAGGCAGCAGTTACACTTTTACATACATTGTATTGGCATGCTCATCAATTCAATCTGGATTCTATAAAGTTTTTTTTTTTTTTAAGTATAACATTATGTTGCAGGAGTTCAAATACACCCAAAGCTCAAGATAATAACTAGAGGCCTCAATAACAGAAAAGGCCATAGGTTAAATAGGACACATGGATACTGACATAAAAATGTACTTTACTCTAGTATCTACTGTAAATGTATTTACCAAGACATTATCAGATTATTCTCCTTATAAAATAAACCGAATCTCAGAGCGGTCTCAAACGATG